AATGAAATGGAAAGTTCTGGAGGGTTTTGAACAGGAATGAAGTTACGAGGAATCATTCTGGGCGGAGAGCAGTCTGGAGAGGGCAGGCACAAAGGAGCAGCTTGGAGAGGGAGGGTTGAGACTGCGGATCACGCAGATAAGGATCAAGACTGGAGGAAGGAAGGACGAAATGGGAGCAACTGGGGTGTGGTTTGAAGGTAAAACCGGCAGGATTGGGGGCTGGTTGCAGCCTTGGGCTGTTGAAATGTGGTCAGGGCAAGGAGCAAGCTCAACACCAGGAAGTGATGTATTCGCTCTTCTCAGCAGAGCCTGCCCTGTTCTGATGCTGTTGAGGTTTTATGGACCGTTTTCCTTGCCAGCTGTCTCCCCAACTAGATTCTAGTTCCTGGGATGCAGGAACCAGACTTGCTTCACTGTTCCTATTTTAACAGTACAGATTGTTACAGTCACTGTCAAGTCTTTCTCCATCTGAAGACATTACCTCCCATCATTATGTGCGACTGGCTCACGGCTTTGCTGTCATCAAGATTCCTAATCTGTGCTTTCACTTAGGAGAGAATCCAAGTCCAGGGGTATCGTGTGCTGCACTCCTGCCCGGACACCAGGCCCCTCTTATCCTGGCTGTAAATCTCACAGCTCCCGGGCACTGTGGTTAGTAGTTTAGATTTTGTTTTTGTTTTCATTTCATTGTCCCACCTTTTTTTTTTTTTAAAGGCTGGGACCGTTAAAGAGGAGAACAAAGGGTCGGTTAAGTACCTTGTCCAAGTTCACACAGCAGACAAGTGGCAGAGTGTGCTAGCACGCAGACCTGCCGACACAGCCCATGCGCTCCAGCCCGAGATCAGATGAGCAACCGCTGGAAGGTTGGCGAAGCCACGGGTGTCTCTTTTTCTCCCATGTGCACACTTCCAGGGCGATTTGGCGAAGGCAAGTGAGATGACGTAGGGCAGCCAGTTCCCACGCCCATCAGATTGTGTGCCCATCATAACCTGCAGTCGTGGGAGGGGACGCCTTGGCTCCGTAGAATTCACAAGGCTAGTTAGTCACATATTCATTTATTAACATTTTGCCATACTTATACTCGCTCTGCACTCCCAGACACTTAATTCCATCATCGTATTTACGAAAATAACAGTAATCTCCTAATATCACCTGACTTCTGTCCTTATTCAAATTTCCTCACTGGTCACAAGAACGCCTTTTTTAAAAAAAACAAAAAACAGGATCTTGTCAAATTCTGCACGTTGCGTTTGTTGCTGTGTCTGGCTTCATCTTGACAGCTACCTTTTAGAAATGTGGAAGAGACTCCGAGCCACTCTAAGAACGAGACAGTTTGGGACCTGTGCTGTCGCCTCGGTCACGCCAGCGTCTCAGGAAGCACGGGCTTTGTGGGGAAGGGAAGGCGGTCTCTCTGTTGTGGAGCAGAGTTCGCCTCACACATCAGCCCGACCGCCCGGCTGTTCTGCCTTTTGCTTTCTTCTCATGTCCGCTCTCCTCGGCTGCAGAAAGCTCTGTGCAGATCCCCTTGTGGGCACAGCCCTGAGAGTCCGCAGTCACACTTCAGACGCTCTCAGGATTGAATGCCCAGCCAGGGTCCCTCCTGTTCCCTGTCCTCTCGTTCCCTATCCTCCCGTCCCCTGTCCTCCCGTCCCCTGTCCTCCCGTCCCCTGTCCTCCCGTCCCCTGTCCTCCCGTTCCCTGTCCTCAGACAGTGGAGGGTGTGGCAGCGAGTCCCAGGAGAGGACAGGACACCATTCTAGCGGTTCCTCTTTGGGGGTGACTTTCGGTCTCCGAGGAAAATACCTGTCAGTTACATGATAGGCCGGACCCTCGCCTTCTGCTGCTGCTGCGGAGCCTGGAGGCCTGTGAGGGAGGCTCCCTGGGAACCAGTGGAAGTGAAGGAAACCCCTGCCCAGAACCCTGGGAGCTCTCTGCCCCGTCGGGAGCTGCTGATCCGAGGTCTCCGTTTGTGACCTTGATCTGTCCTGTTGGCTGGGTCTCCATCTGAGGAAGCCAGCTTGTTCCTCAGAAATGAACCCCTTCTGGTTCCTAGTGACCTTCATCCCTTTCCATAACAGTCCCCAAATGTCTGTGAGACCAGTGCCTCAGCCTCCATCTGGCTCACTGGTAGTTCCTTCCTTCTTTTCTTCCTAAACATTGAATTGTATACTTCACATGTTTTTGGTTTTTTGTCGATATTTTTTAAAAAAGAGGAGGGGGAGAGACAGAGAGACATCAATGTGAGAGAAACATGGACTAGCTGCCTCCTATATGTACCCTGATCAGGGATTGAACCCAAAACCTGGACATGTCCCCTGACCCGGAATTGAACCGGCGACCTTTTGGTGCCCAGGATGATGCCCAACCCACTGAGCACACCAGCCAGGGCTCACTGGTAGCTTCCTGAACATTTCCCCCATTCCCCCATAGACCAGTTAAAACCCGGGGTGGGGAATCAGGGTTAATATACACGTTCAGCAGATTATAAGAGAGTCAGATGAATAAGGTGATGTCATAAATTAGTTGTGATGGAGTTTCTGTTTTGTAATGAAATGATCAATAGTCTGTGGGAATACCATGAATCAGATTTCGAAGAATGGATGTAGGAAGACTGACAGCGCCTTACATTGCTGTAGTAAGAACCTTTTTCCCCGAAGCAGGCTGTAGTCTCAATATATTCTGAGAACTGTCAAGGTGAATGTGGCTTTTGAGCATAATAGCATGTGGTTACCTTGAAAGCACAGGCTCCTAGTAAGTAGTGCTGTCAGAGAGGAATAGAACACAAACCGGTAAACCTCGCTTTAGTGATATATTTAATCTGATACAGGCGCAATATTTTTGTTTCAACATGTTGTTGGTATAAACGAGATTTTTTTAAAAATATTTTTTTTATTGATTTCAGAGAAGAAGGAAGAGGGAGAGAGAGCAAGCAGAAATATCAGTGATGAGAGAGAATCATTGATTGGCTGCCTCCTGCAAGCCCTGCACTGGGTGTCGAGCCTGCAACCCTGGCATGTACTCTGATGGGGAATCGAACTGTGACCTCCTGGTTCATAGGTTGACACTCAACCACTAAGCCACACTGGCCTGGTTAAATTTGAGATTTTTACATTCCCCTTTTCATACTAAATCTTCAGCGTCTGGTTAGTATTTTACACACACACACTACGTCTCATTTTGGACTGACCGACCACATGTGATGTGCTCACAGGCCACATGTGGTTAGTGGCTACTGACATGGACTGTACAGGGAGGAGAGGCAGCAGCTTGGAGGGGAGGGAAGGAAGCATGTACCTACTGGGCTGCAACCAAGGTACATGCCCTTGACCGGAATCGAACCTGGGACCCCTCAGTCCGCAAGCCGACCCTCTATCCACTGAGCCAAACCGGCCGGATCTAGCTTTTTTGAGGGTTAATCCTCACTGGAGGGTATATTTTCCATTGATTTTTAGAGAGTGGGAGGGAGAGAGAGAAGAGAGAGAGACAAACATCGAATGATGTGAGAGAGACACACTGATTGGTTGCCTCCTGCTCACGCTCTCAAAGGCCTAGGATGGAACCTGCAACCCAGGTACGTGCCCTTGACTGGGAATCGAACCCATGACCCTTTGGTGCCCAGGATAGTGCTCTAACCAGCAAGCAACACCGGCCAGGCTAGATTTAGCTTTTTAGAAGATGCTTGGCGCACAGTCAGCCCCAAATGTAATGCATGTTTGTGCTGCTGCGTTGTTAAATGTTGTCGAGGTTAAGTTGGCCTAGAGCTCATTTGATTGGGTTCACTAAGAACTAAGTTAAAGAATTGAGCTGCAAGAAGGAAAAGAAAAAAAAAAGAATTGAGCTGCAGCAAACCCCCTTGAGTAAAACACCGTGTCCTTTATTTTTTTTAAGATATGATTTCATTTGTATATATCATTTTTTTCTTTTTTTAAAATTTTGTTTTATTGCTTAAAGTATTACAAAGAGTATTACATTTGTCTCCTTTTTTTTCCCCTTGACCTTCTCTGGCCTCCTCTACCCCCCAGTGTCTTGTGTCCATTGGTTATGCTTAGATGCATGCACACAAGTCTTTCGGTTGATCTCTTACCCCCCGGCCCCCATGTCCTTCTTTATCATCTCCATGCTTGCTGAGCCTGTCTCCACCCCAAAACTGGAACATGCGTCTGACTAAGCTGAGGATATTCATGAACTTAATGAAACATGACTTGTACCAGCACCCCCGCAGTCATTCTGGGTGGGTCCCCCCCCCCCACCGTATGTAAATGTCTGAACCGAGACTTTGTTGCCTGGACTGTGAGCAGGTCCTCCAAGGGCTGAAAGTGAGACATGGTTTCAGAGAAGTGAGAGGGCCAAGGTTGTGTCAAAGCAACCAGAGCTGCCCCTGGTCCCTGCCATCCTCTGGCCGGGCGGAGGCCTCAGCCAGCCCCCGTCGTAGTGTCATACACACGGGGAAATGCCACGCTGCATGCATTCGGGTACTGAAACTATTAGGGGATTTTATTGTTTTGCCTCAAATAAATTTTTACCTTAACTGCTGCCGTCTGCAGGCCACCTGCCCCGGACGGGTGCTTTAGGAGAGAAAGAAGTCTTTAAAAAGGCATTTCTAAGGAAAGCCCTTTCCCTAAGTCCCGAAGAGTGGTGGGCACATCTCTGAGAAACCGCACCAGTGACAGGCCGCCTCTCCCAGGCCTCAGACAGGCTTGGACTTGCACTGGGGCTGGTGTCCCTGTGTGGGTACAGGGTACAGGTTTCCACCCTTAGCGGGGGCCGCCCCCTTGGCCTTAAAAGGGAAGCAGTAGACAGAGGGAACATCTCAGAAGGAACAGCGGGGGATAGGCTGGTGGGATAGGATGGGGAGTGGGGAGCCAGCAGACCCTTTGTCTGGCTCTAGTGCCCGAGGCAGGCAGGGGAAAGGAAGGGGGCTGTTTCGACTGTGCCTTGAGTGGTCCCAGGCCACCCACTCTTCGGCTCCAGTTAAAGGTCTGTGCCTGTCCTTGCCGCGTCATGGTTCTTCAGCCAGGTCCCATGGCACTCAGCGTTTGGGGTGACCCCAGTTTTCCTGCCTCTTGGACTGCATTTAAGTTGTATTCTGTATCAGTTTAGTTAATTCGCTTAACTGTTTATTGAGTTTCCCTATGACTTCCCTTTGATTGCTCCTTGCATGAATGGATGGATGGATGGACAGACGGATGGACGAATGGATGGATGGATGGACGGACGGATGGATGGATGGACGGACGGATGGATGGATGGACGGACGGATCAATGGATGGACGGATGGATGGATGCATTTGCTCTGGCTTTTGCTCCTTCCTGCACTTAAGTCTCTCTTGTCCCCTTTCCCCTCCCTCACTTTTTTACATCTCACATTTTTATTTACCTTAAAAAAATTTATTGGGGTGACATTGGTTAGTAAAAGGATATAGATTTCAGGTGTACAGTTCTATAACATCATCTGTATACTGTGGTGCATGTTCACCACCCCACATCAAGTCCCCTTTCATTGTCATTTATGCCCCCTTTACCCTCGCCTGCCTCCCCCCAACCCCCATTCCCTGTGGCAGTCACCATACTGTGTCTGCATCGATGGTGGTTTTTTCTTTGCTTAATCCCTTCGCCTTTATCACCCAGCCCCCAATCCCGTTCCCCTCTGACAGCTGTCCGTCTGCTCTCTATCCATGGGTCTGTTTCTATTTTGTGTATTAGTTTCTTTTGTTCATTAGATTCCACATGTGAGTGACATCATATGGTACTTGTCTTTCTCTGGCTGGGTTATTTCACTTAGCATAACCCTCTCCAGGTCCATCCATGCTGTGCCAAAGGGTAAGATTCCCTTCGTTTTTATGGCCGAGTAGTACTCCATTGTGTAAACGTACCACAGCTTTTTAATCCATTCATTGGATGGGCACTTGGGCTGTTTCCAGATCTTGGCCCCTCCCACAGCTGCAATTGGATGTTTGTCTAATTATTTGTATGAAGTCTGGTGTCTCTACCAGAATGTAAGCTCCAAGAGGGCAGGGACCCTGCTTGTCTGGTTCTCCCACATAAAATAGATGCCCAGTGAGTATTTCGGAATTAATGAATGAATGAATGAATGATGGACCAGGCTGTGGTGAAAGGGGAGCTGAGCAGGGAATCAGAAAACCTGTGTCCTGTCCCTCTGCTGCCCTAAACTTGCTGAGACACGGAGCAGTTGGTGTGCCCCCGGGGCCTATTTGCCCATCTGTAAAGTGGACGTAGCATCCCCAGTGCACCTGGGCGCGCAGAGGGTTTCCAGAGGGACTCGGGAGGACGTGAACACACCTGGAAGAGTGGAGCCCTTCAGTCACTTTCCTGGGTGCTCTGTCCCGTTGCCTGTGAAATGGAAGTAATTTGAATACACTTCAGAGTTGCTCCCAGCTCAGAATTACGTCTCCCTTCCCGCCCTCCTCGCTTCTCTCCACACCGTTCCTGGCTTGTTTCTTTTTCCTGTTTCACAGTTCAGGGAACATCGCTTCTCTCCCGCCTCCACCCTACGCGCTCATTCGTTCATTCGTTCATTCACTCATTCACTCATTCAGAGGCGTTTCAGGCCCCACTAAGTGTGTGGGAGACGCTCCGCTTGGGATCCAGCTGCTTTGACCTGCGTCCCACGGACTGTGGTTGAATCCGGGAGGTGGTGCGTGATCAGCACTCGGCCGGGGTGCTGCTGTCTTTTTGAGGGCAGTCTCCCTGAACTAAGGGGGTTGGTTCTAAACGTCCTTGCAAATAGACAGGTGGGGATATTTGCTTCTCACTTGAAATTACTGGGCACCGTTGCCTACAGTTGGTTATTGAATGTCTTGATTTCTCCTACGCTCTTGCGGTTACCCTGGTTGCTGCTCGGCAAAAACTTCAAATTTCAGTTTAATGTCTTTTCCCTTAACACCCGTTCTTCTCTCTTGAACAAGAAAGTTAAGCCTGGAGCAAGATGCAGCTAAACGCATTTCGGGGGGCATCAGGAATACCCCGGTCTTAGTGGTGGTGATAAATGTTTAATGACTGGGTTGGGGTGTGGTGGTGGTGGGGCCCTCATTGAAATCTTCCATCAGAGAGGTTAACCACGGGCTGGTGACAGGTTTGAATCAGCTCCAGCCACACGGTCCCGGAATCCTCACCGTCCCTCTGGCGTGCTCCCTGTCATTGGGTTTGATCTCAGTAGCTCCCCTGTCAGCCAAGAAAGCGGGCTGCCCGACAGCCACCGGCACAGCCTCCCTACCCCCCATCCCCACATCCAGTCACCAACTCCTGTGATAACCTCTCCAGTCCATCCACTCCCGGGGGCGTCCCGGCCTGGTCTGTCCGTCCGCCGCTCCTTGCGCCGCCTCTGTCCTGCTTTCTCTGCCGCCACTCAACCGCTGGCGGCTCTGCAGACGGTCAGCGGCGGAAACTTACATTGCGTCCTGCTCGTCTTCGTTTACACCCTTTCTGTAGCTCTCCTTTGCCATGAGGATACGTCCCAAGCCCGTAGCATCCTTCCCTGACCCCTCCAGCCCCTGCCCACACACTCGGAGCAGCCCCGCCCGCCTCCGCAGCCTCCTTCCTGCTCCCCCCCCCACCCCCCCCACCCCGGCTCTCTGTTCCAGACATTGGGAACTGCTTTTATTTCCTCAAACAGACCACACTCCTTGATTCGGGACAGGCCTTGGAGCGCTGCTTCCTCTATCTTCCACCCACTGTCCTCCCTCCTTAGCCAGCCCTCAGCTGGCCGACTCCCCTCCTCCTTCAGCATGGCTTCCTGGGGAAGGCCCCGCCCAGGTGGCTGTCCTCGCCTCCTCTGTGTCCTCTCCACCCAGTGAGCCTCCTCGAGGCCCTGCAGCGACGCCGTCTTGTTTGCTGCCATGTTCCCAGCATTGCCCACGTGCCTGGCATGTAGGGGGTACTCCACCAATGTTAACTCCACTTCCTGGGTTTTTGTGGGCCCCAGTTAAAGAGTGGATTCTAGCCCTTGCTGGTTTGGCTCAGTAGATAGAGCATCAGCCCACGGACTGAAGGGTCCAGGGTTCAATTCCGGTCAAGGACACGGGCCTCAGTTGCAGGCACAAACCCCAGCCCTGGTTGGGGCGTGTGCGGGGGGAGGCAGCCAATCCATGTCTCTCTCTCTCTCACATTGATGTTTCTCTCACTGTCTCTCCCCCTCCCTTCCTCTCTCTCAAAATCAATGGAAAGATATCCTCAGGTGAGGATTAAGAAAAAGAAAAAGAGTGGTTTCTACCTGGTCAGGCATCTACTTCCTATACTTTCTGTCGGCGGTTTATCAGCTTAGCACACAAAGTAGCTGATGAATAATTTTTACCACGAAATTCAACTCCTTTCTCCATAGAGCGTCTTGGAAGATGGTTTTCTGTTTTCAACAATCATATTTTTTTCCTAACCTTTTTTTTTCTCTCTCTCGTAGGTTTCACCAGCTGCCAGAGCTTACTGCGTTATGGAAGTATAGGTGGGAATATCACTTTGTCGCCATCAAGCACTGTAAACTTTACAGAGGTCATGTGGAAAAAAGGAAAGGATAAGGTGACAGAATGGAGTACATACCTTAACGTCACAACTTACTCCCATTTTGGAGGGAGGGCTCATTTAGACCCTAAGTCAGGTAACCTCACCATCCTCAATTTAACATCATCGGATGAAGATGAATATGAAATGAAATCCGCGGATCTTACAGATAGCTATAAATTTCATCTTATAGTCCTCGGTGAGTATTTCATAACTTGGTCTGTTTAAAATGGCACATTTCACCTGGCTGGCATGGCTCAGTGGTTGAGTGTTGACCAGGGCGGTCACAGTTCGATCCGTGGTCAGGGCACATGTCCACATTGTGGCTCAATCACCAGTGTGGGGCGTGCAAGAGGCAGCCGATCGATGATTCTCTTTCATCATTGATGTTTCTACCTCTCTCTCCCTCTCCCTTCCTCTCTGAAATCAATAAAAATGTATTTTTATGGCTGACTGATATTCTGTTGGATGTACATATACCACAGCTTTTATATCTATTCATGCTACGATGGACACGTAGGTTGTTTCTGTGTCCTGGCTACTATACATAACGCTGCCGTGAACACCACCCCCCGTTTTTCTGGATCGTTTTAGTGCCTGGTTCATTTTCACTGTTTCTGATGTTCCTGCCAGGGTCGTAGTTCTCGGGGATTGTGATATTGAAATAAAGGTCCTTTTTCATGTCCCAGTTTCTCAGGCCTTGCTGTCCTCGCTTGCCATGGTGTAACCTAGAACTTGTCATTTCCAGTCATTCTGATCCCTTCATCTCTCAGTAGCAGAAGTCCTGCCCCTTCTACTTTTAGCTCAGGCCCTCGGCTGTGCTGACTGATAGCCTGAGGAAGCCTGGCGAAGGCCCGCAGAGGAGCCACACTCAGGGAGGTGCGTTTCCCTCAGTGATAAACGCAGTATCGACTGGGGGACTTCAGGTCCTGCTTGGGGAACCTGGGCCGTAGCCTGTGGCTGTGAGGAGCCTCTGTCTCCCACAATAGACTCGGTGAAATCTAGTTTTGGAAGATGAACCAGGTGGTAGGTATTTACGGTGGATCGGGGAGAAGAGGTGCCGGGGTAGAAGCCCCTGTGGTCGCTCAGGTAGACAGAGGTGTCCGTAGGAGATGTTGGAAAGGAGAGGATCCGAAGATAAGCGAAGGAAGACTCAACCGTATTTAGAACTTGTCATAAAAAGACATAGGATGACTCATGGCTTCACACCGGTTGACTAAATAATTCATCGTCCTCGTTGTCTTAAAATGGGGAAGTCAGAGTTCTGGGGGAGGATGTGTTTAGTTCTATTTAAGTGCGTTGGTATTTACTCTTCCGGAGACACCAGAAGGCTTTCAGAAAGGGAGTTTTACGGGTAGAAGGGGCTTTCCTGGCACCTCTTGCTTCTGCATGGGAGTTGCTGTCTGCTTTCCTTTCTCCCACAAAGCCCCCTGCGAATCTCCGCTAATGGTGTCCATGAGCTCTTTCTCAGCCCCTGCACAGCCTTCGTTGCATTGGAACGTCCATGTAAGTCGAAGTGACTGTTCTTCCCTGAAACGGTCCAGACCGGTGTGTAATTTTTTACTGAAGTTAATGGAAAGATGCAGATGTCAGCTGGTCTGTAGAGGAAGTCCTCCTCTCTGACAGGGTGGTGGGCTGAATTAATTAATTACACAGCGACTAATTCACTTATTGTGGGGCATGAAGGAGGCACATTCCTGGCCTGTTGAATCTGTTTAAGGTGCAGGTTGACTAATCTCTTAGAAGTCGCCGTGGTAAGGCCCCGGGCAGTGAGACGAGGAAAGGTTATCGATGGGAAGATCTGAGTGCAGAAGTTCACCCAGCTGCCACAGAAAGGTCTGCATACCTGTTGGTGAGCAGGTGGCTCAGCTCTCCCAGGCTGGGATGTGACAATGGTGGAGCAACGAGAGCGCCTGGAAGAGCTTCTGTGTCGCTAAGTGGGCTCTGACCACATAGAACAGTGATGGCAAACCTTTTGAGCTCAGCGTGTCAGCATTTTGAAAAACCCTAACTTAACTCTGGTGCCGTGTCACATAGAGAACTTTTTTGATATTTGCAACTATAGTAAAAGATTTATATTTTTGATATTTATTTTATATATTTAAATGCCATTTAACAAAGAAAAATCAACCAAAAAAATGAGTTTGCTTGTCATAGGTTCGCCATCACTGGCATAGGACGTGATACTAGTTCTTCCACGGGTCTCCCCTCACAGCATTTTCCTATCCCACCTGGCCTTGACTGTGACCGTGTTCTGTTCTCTCTTACAGAGGAAAATGAGACAGACTTAGCAATGGGTTTCTCCTTTTATAGGACAGGAGCCTGGGCTGGATAATTTATCTAAGGTCTTGCAGCTCCTACAGGAGCTGTGGTCCAAGGCCTCACAGCCTGCTGGGGCTAATGCTCACACCTCCCAGCTCCTGGCCAGTGACCCCTGCCAGTGCCCCACGCCCTCACGGGAGCTTCACTTTACCAGCCTTGATGTAACTTTGCTATAGTTTGCTTTTTTAGTACATGTTTATAATGTATTGAAATTTTATTATCCAAATGCTACCAGGACTTTTTTGGTGTATATTTCCTGTATATTTACGTCTTCTCAAATCTCTTATAATTAGTTAGGGGGTGGGAGTAGAGATGCAGGAAGGCATCTGAATGAAATACAGGACGCGTGAGACACAAATGAGCATTACGATGAGAGCGGGTGAGATGGTGCAGTGGGACCTGTGAGTGTCTTCGCCTGCGGTGTGCAGGCCCAGGCCGCCTTAGCCGGTAGGAGGCGCTTCCCGGGGGAAATCTGGGAGGGAGGCCTCGGGTCTGGCAGGTCCCTGACAGGTGCCACGCCTTATTCTACCTGTCAGCGGGGCCAGCCCACGCTACCTTTCACAAAACCCTTTGAGTCACTTTGAAACATTTCAGATTTTCGAAAAGTTGTATAAACTCTTTTCTCTCTGTAGATTAAAAAGTACCCCACTGCTCTAGGTAGGAGGCGCTTCCCGGGGGAAATCTGGGAGGGAGGCCTCGGGTCTGGCAGGTCCCTGACAGGTGCCACGCCTTATTCTACCTGTCAGCGGGGCCAGCCCACGCTACCTTTCACAAAACCCTTTGAGTCACTTTGAAGCATTTCAGATTTTCGAAAAGTCATATAAACTCTTTCCTCTCTGTAGATTAAAAAGCACCTCACTGCT